ATATATATATCTTGAATTTGAATTGGGGATAGGTGCCCATTTTAGGAAGTTTGAACCAAAAAATATAAAAAAAAAGTCAAGTCGTGCTTTCCATCTAGAGATCATGTTTGGATAGAGAATCCTTTTGGATATGGAAACTGTCTTAGATATGTATAGATAGCTGGATAGGTATGCATATCTTTCTGTCTTTTGAATTTGAGTTTAAGATAAGTATCTATTTAAGGAAGTTTGAACTAAAATATAGGAAAAAAATCTCATATTTCTCAAATTAAGATAATGGAACAATGTCTCTCTCTTCTTAAAATCTCTAATTTTTCTCTTTAAAATATACACTCTTCACACATAAAATATTAAGATAGGATGGTGATCCCCTCTTTTCTACACTTCACACATAAATTTTAGGAAAGAGTTGGATAAAAAAAATTCTCCTCTTTCTCAATAAAATATAAAAACAATATCTCTCTTCGTAAAATCTCTACTCTCTCTCTCTCCTTAAAATAATAAAATCTCTACTCTGAGAATGTATACAATGAGATCATTTACCTTTGATATAAGGATATAAGGATATTGTAAAATCTGATAGCTTGGGCATGTTATTCCGTTCAAAAAAATTTCTTTTATAGTTTGTGCACGTCAATGGAATAAATACAACCATCCAATTTCACATCCAATGGTCAAGATTCATTATGACCACCTTGTACTAAGATAAATCATATCATTGTATACGTTTCTTATATAGACTCTAACTACAAATATATAATTATATTTATTTTAAGGGAAATGCTGGTGTAATCTGGTAGCTTATTGCTATATAGAGGCCCAATGGCCTAGATTGAATCTAGGCCGATCCAATGGTCACGATTGCATTTCATATTTGAATTTTAAATTACTTTAAAGTTTGGATGTGTGTTCTTTAAAAATTTTAGAATCTAATAAAAATATTAAAAAAATATTTGATGAAAAATAAATCGACCAAAATCCCTTCAAATATTGCAGGAGTATTTTGGTCAATTTATATTTTACAAATTATTTTTTTAATAGGTACATTGATGAGAAGAATAGACTCCTAAAATTTCATATTATTTGGATTTGTAAAAGAAATTAAATTAAAATACTAAATGAGACGATATCTATTACATTGACCTATATTCAATCTGGGTTGTTGGACCTATATGTAACTGCAGCCTAGATGACCAACACCAGCATTTCCCTTAGTTAAATATCATATATTAAATATTATAACTATTTGGATTGGGACTACATAGACTCTGACCCAGACCCGACTTGCCAAGTTAAAATTTTAATCCTGGACCGTCAGCCAAGTCTACCCGTTGGGTCAGGGTCCATTGCCACCCCGGTAGTTTTCCCTCTCTCTCCCTAAAATGTTCTCTCCTCTCTCTATCCCCTCTCTTTTTCAACTACGTTATCTCTCCGTTAAGAATTTTCAAATAACGGGTATCACAGAGCGAGTAGGGGTGGGTTCGTTTCCATTTTTTCCGTTTTAACAGTGGAGTTTAGCGGTTAGGTAAAATAATGGTAAAATGGAAATGAGGAGAAAAAAAAAGTTAAAAGAATCGAAAAAATAAAAAGTTTCCTATTTTGTAAGGGAAACGGCCTCTGTAGCACCAAAATGAGGACTTGACTCTTAAGTGAAATGATGGAGTGAAAAAGTGGCGAATGGAAAAGTGAAGAAGTGGAGTGAAAGTGGAGAATGGAAAAAGGAAAAATAGCAAAATAAGCAAAAACAAATAATGGGAAAATGGAAAATAAATCGGAAATAATTGAATCCATTTTTATAATTATTTTAGGAATGAAAATTTAATTGAAGAGCATGCTAAGTGATGTGGGATTATGTTGATGTTCTTGTTATCATTAATACTTTATTGTTTTAATAAAATCAATCCTCATAATGAACTATTTGGACAAGCTCCATCCAAAAATATGTGTTAAACTTATATATATTTTAATATATAATTTTATCTTTAAAAAATGTTGTTTTACTTTATTTTTTGTAATTTGCTGAAAATCATATTTTTTTGAATTTTTTTATCCAAAAATAACCAAAACTTGCTAAAATAAATATTTAAAGGGTGAGCCTAGGCTCTAAACAATCAAATTAGGACCTACCTTCAAATAGTGTTGGGAAATGTGTTTTCAACACTAGAAATCTTTTTGATAGCCTTAAAGTATATTTTCATATTTATTTATAAAGTTTAAACCTTAAAAAATAGTGTAGATCGACAGATATATGAAAATTTGAAAATCTTGAAATTAATGCATTACAAAATATGCTATTTTCAAAACTTAAAATGCATTTTTTTCTCATGTCCATGCATCTTGATGTTGAGATGATCTATTTGAGGATATTTGGGCATCAAAACAATCTCTTCTAGTGAAATGTAATGCATGCATATTATATTATTATTTTAATCATCATGCATGTTGTACTTCTATGATATCAAATGAGATACGTTCACTATTATGTAGTGTAATATTTATCTTGGGTAATATTTACCTTGGATAATATTTTTTCTCTATTTGAAAAAATGCTAAAAGTTTTTATCTTAATGTAGAAAATTATTATTATGAGAATCATGTAAATACCTATCAAAATATGCTAGGCCTCGAAAGGTATTGTATTTGTCGCATACATTACCCAAATAACTTCAGCATGTGTTTAATATTTGTAGTGATATTATGTAATAACAAGAAATAGATCATAACCCTAGAAACCACTCATATATTAAATATTGTATGATTTATCAAATTAATGTTCAATGCATATTCAAATTAATAGTAATACTATTGAATAACAGGAAATGGGTCTTAGCCCTATAAACCACTCCATTTATAAGAGTTATTTTGGATAAAGATAAACATAGAGATACATGTTCCCATGCTCATCATAGAGTGACGTGAAGGACAAATCAACATATGCAACATGAACAGTCACAAGATTCATAAGCCAATTATTTAGTCTTCTACTATTATATTGTATCTTTCCGCAACAAAAATTCTTATGAAAATTGTACATTTTAACCTAATGAATTTTCCTTTAAAAATGTTTTAACTTTTTCTGAAATTTGCATATCATCATTTCAAAATTTTGAACATAATTTTATGAATTATTATGCATCCATAATTATTTATAACCAATTTTTACTATTATTATAAACTTTAGAATATTACAAAATATTTTTTGTCTTTACCTCAAAGTAGAAATTCAACTTTGTATCTTTTAAGAATTTTTTTAATAAATCTATATTTTATAGTGTGATGTTAACATTTATTAAGGACTTTATTTTTTTTTATGAATTTTCATATTTCATACTTACAATAACATCAATATAATAATATCATATAATATTAATATATGTTACTACTTATAATAATATCATATAATATCAATATATTATTATGTAATATTATGTTACTATCATATTATGATTTCACATTAATATTAATAGAGAAATGATCCTATAGGACCCTTCCCCACCCATATGTGCAGGACCCGAAAGGAGCACCATTGAATTTGACACGGATATTTTAAAAAGTCAAGTCTCACATCCACGTGATAACTTTTTTAAAAATCCATTTCAAATTTAATGGTGATCCTTTGAGGTCCTACACACATGGATGGAAGAGGGTCTTATAGGATCATTACTTATATTAATAAAAAGATAATATTAATGATCATTTATTACGTGCAGCACGTGGCATGTTTACGAACCAAAATTTGGGGTTGAGAATATCATTTAATATAGTCCCATAGGAACATATTCTGTTCTTAATCCAACATGAAATAGAATAACTTAATATTATTTAGTAAATCTAAAATTTAGGGATCTATGATTATATCAATATTTAAAAATAAAAAATAATTAAATTTTAGGTCTAAAACTTCAAAATAGAATAAAAGGAAGCCAGGTAAACCTTTGAAGTTAATTTTAATATACATAAGTTCACCAACTGTAATATGGTTTGAACCTTTGCAGGATAACGAAGCCACAACGCTCTTGAGCTATATGCACCTAATGCTTCTAAAACTTGAAATACATGTTTTTTTTTTGTCGTGATGATCAATTTGAGGATATTTAAGCATCAAAACAATATTTTTTAATGAAATTTTTTATGTTCTCTCTAATTTGATTGTTTAGAGCTTCGGCTCTCTATAAACTGTTTCCTTGATATTATAGATAGATAGATTTTAGATTTTATTTTATTTTTTATTTATATATATTTTATTTATATTTTATATTTAGTTATGTATTTTATTTTATTTTATAGTTATATTTTACACGTAGTACATATCTTGAACTCCCTTTTTTGTGAAAAAAAAAGTTCGGAATTGGGTTTCTTTTACTACAAAAGTTTGAGAGAATTGCATGTTATTAATGTACTCCATGTTTGACTATTGGAAAAGATTTCTTCACCATCTCTTATTCTATTTTTAAGGGAAAACTGTTGAGCGTGTATGTATGTGCGTTTCCAATGTCTCTAATTCTATTTCATGCAAATCATCCCGTTTCATGAACCCCACCCGTGGAAATGAAACAACCACCGCTCTACAACCAACTCTCTCTCTCTCTATCTAAAAATCTCTCTCTCTCTCTCTCTCTCTCATACACAATGAATTAGCTCGAATTTATCAATCCTCTCCCCTCTCGCTCTCTCTCTCAATGAATTGGCTTCAATTTCCCAACACTCTCTTTCTCTCTCCTCTCTCAATGAATTCGCTTCAATTTCCCAACACTCTCTTTCTCTCTCCTCTCTCTCTCTCTGGAATTCAAAGAATCGCCTTCAATTCCTCCATGAGTTTTACATTTCTCTTTGGAATACGGTGGATGGGAAGGAGGACTTCCTACACTTCTTCCCTATAAATATTTGAGAATTGAGACCAAACAAGAGCAAGAAGGAAATAATACATTGCAATATATACATATAAACTCTTATTGAGGGAGAGATGGAAGGAGGCAAAGGTGTTGGTAGTGGTGGAGGCGGAAAAGGTGTTGGTAGTGGTGGTGGAGGCGGCAAAGGCGGTGGCGGTGGGGGATATTCTGGTGGTACGGGTGGCGGCGGAGGTACTTCTGGCTTTAGTGGCGGAGGTGGAAGTTCCGGGATGATGAATGCTCCAGGAAGGGATGGTCAATCCATCCCCAGGGACACCTTTGAGAGCGATCCTAAGGGCTACTTTGAACAATTGCATGCTGATCAAAAGGGTAGCAAGTAGGAGGGTTATTTCTATGTAAGGTCTTGGTTCAACCATTTTGTAGGGGCATCGACCCTTGGCTATAATTTGCAAATAGTGTTGGACTTGGCTACATATATACTTATATTGAATAAAATAAATATAGTTTTGAATAATTCTTGGATCACTTTTTTTATTATTATTTTTTAGATTAGTGGGGAATACCGGCCCTACCCGTTTTAGAAATAATTAGTGGTTTTAAATGCTTAAGTGGGAATGAAGACCAGACCGGTACCTGAGGCTCGAGTGAACATAGCTTTTTATTGTTTCAACGATACTTTTGTATAAAAACTCTTAATTTTATACAAATTAGCTTGGGATTAAAATAGTTCTCCCGCTATGTCTTATGGAAACATTTTATAAACATTGAAATTTGATAGAGGATAATAAAAATGCCAAGTGGAATTCTAAAGGGCCCTTCCTCTTATATCTGTCGTTTACTTTTTTGAACTTGCATTAGTGTAATGTAACAATATTTAAAGGAAAAAGTTTATATAGAGCCTAGGCTGAGCCTATCTCAAAAAGTTTACCCCAAGAAGCCTTTTTATGCTTAAATGTCTTCAAATTGACCACCTTGCATCAAGTTATGAACATGAGAAAAAATGAATTTGAAGTTTTGAAAAAATACGACTTTATCCTAACAATAGAAATCAAAGTATTTTATGATGTTCAATAATCGCAAACGGGTCAATTTTGGTAATTTTGGTTCATGAATAACTGAAAATTTAAAATTTCAGGAACCATTTTTTTTTTTTTTGTAAATGTGCTTATTCTCTCTCTACCTCTCTCTCTTTACATTCTATGGGTAAAAATGGTTTTTTTTTTTAAACTCTCTCCCCTTCACCCAATTTTTTGTGTAAGTTCATAATCTCTGAGATTTCTTTTAGGGGCTCAAATTCCCCCATTTTATCTGATGACCATAACTTCAACGAGCTAGAGAGAGAATACGCCAAAAGATTTCTCCTAATTTTCTAATATCATAATACCTGAGTTTTTTCGTAAATTTAAGGGTTCAAACTATTGGTTCCCTTTTGATTTTAGGGGCTCAAACTATTTGTTACTTTTTTATTTTATCGGATAATTATGACTTCACAGAGGCAAAGAAAACACGCCACAAGGGAACATTTTTTCTTGAACTGAAATTTAAAATTTTCAGTTATTGAGAAATTAGTGTATTTTCGGTTGTTGAACAATCGAAAATACTTTGAAGAAAAAGGATAAAATCTATTTTTTTTTAATTTTCATTATGACAAAAAAATACGGATATGATGCTAATAACATTAACTATTCGATAAAATTATAATAACGGAAATTATAACGGATATGTATATAATTTTTCCTATTGAATAGCGTGATAAACATGAGATTATGACTTTATGTACCTTTCTTAATCACATCACGATTTATCAATAGGCTACGCCAATGTTTAAAAAAACTCGGGAATCAATCATAATGGCTCGAACCGCTAAAAACATCGGGAATCGTCTAGTTCTAGAGAGAACCGGACGATTCTAGAGAGAACCGAACGATTCTGCACAGTGACTCGCCGATTCACTGTACGGAATCGACGAGTCTCGTGAAGAACACGGGCTGCACAGTGTTCTTAACGGGATTCTTCGAAATTTGTCATTTTTTTATCATTTTTCTTGTTTTTTTTGGCATGTGATCTAATTTGCAGGCTTTGAACAGCTTTATTCAGCTTTTACACGGATTAAATGGTTGAGAAATTTTGTGTTTTTGGATCACGAAACTTGCATTTTTAGGGTTTCCGCCTTTCCTTGTGTTTCATGAAATTTTGTGTTTTTGGATCACGAAACTTGCATTTTTAGGGTTTCCGCCTTTTCTTGTGTTTCATGCCAAATAGGGCATGAATCTGTCAAAATTTGTAGGCATTTTGATCGTAAAGTTGTTCATCAAAATCTTCTGTTACGAATTTGTGATAATCGTTGAGAAAAACAGAGTTATTTGGAGATTGAAGGCTCCGGTTCACAAAACCAGGTAAGAAGTTTGGGTTTTTTTTTTTTTCGTCATATGATTAATTTCACTGCATATTTTGAAGATAATGAGTTCAATTTGTAGGGTTTTAAATCTTTATTGTGTCTATTATGATTTAGCATATTCAATTTTATGTAATTTTGTCAATTACAACATGAATTTTTAGATAAACACAGAGATGTATGTGGAAACAAATTTCTGCTGTTTTTTTTTTTTTTCCGCCTTTCGATTTTTTGTTCATGATATATTAGAAATAATGTGTAAGATTTCTAGCGTTTTTAATTGTTATAGTGTT